TTCAAAAGCCATCTCCTCTTGCTGAGATGGATGGTTGAATAGGCAACATTACTTGCCATGAAGCTTAGCCTATTTGATACACTACAGTAGGCTAGTTGTAACCTGGAATGCAGTCAAGACTGTGACCATAATGCATAGCGGGCTATGGCCTCCCATTAGTGGGGGGGGGGAAGTTTACGAGCTAATCCAGAATAAATGTGCAGTAGAATGTAGGAATGAAAACTGCATCTGTCAGCCATCAGTCTCTGGGAGAATGTAGGGGTCTTCGTATGACTCTGGGCTTTGGCACTCACTGGTCAATCATGACTGAGATTCTGCTAGCAGGGTTAAGTACCAAACGATGTAGGACAGATTATTTTGTGGGGGAGTTATGCTATTTTTTACTCTTCAGTTGTCAAAATTGCTGCCGGCCTGGACGAAGCTAGTTTTGTAATATGAGATTTGCTATTTGACTTAAAAGATAACTTTGTCAGTTGTAATTTAGACAAGACACTTCTCACAACGGACAAACACTCCTGGAAAATATGAGTATATGCACGTGCCCCATGTATTACAGCACTGCCCCTCCCTCTGACAAAGCTGACCTGGAGATTCTGAAATCTAGAGTTGTCAGAATTTTCCCTTGATGGTGGTGTGGATTTCTGACCGTGTTTTTCCTCTTTCCAGACTGAATGAGCAAATAATCATCCTTCTCTGCTAGTTCTTTTGAATTTGTGTGGTAAAGAGGTACAGTCAGATGCAGTAAAGCAGTGGTCCCCAAACTTTTGAGGCTGCCGTGCGCCCGGGGGCGGGGCCATGCGTGCGCCATGCACCCGGGGGCTTGGCCGCGCATGCGCCGTGCGCCCGGGGCCGGCACTGCGCATGCGCCACATGCCTGAGGCAGGGGCCGTGCATTCGCTGTGTGCCCGGGGCCCAGGGTTCAAGAATGGCTTGGGCCGGCCCTGGTCACTTGGCGGGCACACATAAATGCCCCGGTGGGCGCCATGGCGCCCACGGGCACCGCGTTGGGGACCACTACAGTAAAGGATATAGGCATATGGCTAACCTTAAGCATGTGACTGATCCTGCTTACTTCAGTGGGAAAGTTTGTGGGTACATGTAATGGTTGAATTGGGGCAGCCTATTACAAGAAAAGCAGCTGGATGATTGAGTCTGACATTTTCCAGACACTGTCATTTTTTGTATGAAATATGTGTCCCAGTTTAGGAATTAAGCTTGAGTCCTCCTGAAAGTTTTACTGGTCCAAAACTAATTATTTGTATTAAACCTAGCTATTAATGTAATGAAGTCAAACATTCTGATGTCATGGAAAGCCAAATAATTTATTATATGCATTTTTAAAGCATTTAGGGTGGTGCATTACTTTATACAGACCAATATAACTTCAGATAGTATGAATTGGTGCGTGTCTGACAATGATGAAGCTTTGCTCATATACACCAGCTGAAAATATGGCTCTAAGTACTTGTCATATATATGGTGTAGCCATTTTACATTACACTGTGTTAAAAAGAATGATTATAAAGCGTATCGGCACATCATTGTGTAATTTTGCAGTTCTAATTAGTTTTGGAGTGAAAACTACAGAACTTGTTAGTTCACAAGAATACCATGATCCCAAAGAAAGGAAAGCAAGCAGACCTGTTATTAACAGGGAATAAAACTGCCATTCTTTCCTGTGATACAAGCTATAGTTATGCACTACTAAGAGTTTCAATAATTAGTCCTAAAGTCTCAGAGGAGTGGCTGTGTTAGCCTGTAACTTTAAAAAACAATGAGTCGCCCTGTGGCACCTTAGACTAACAATTATAAATATGTAGGAACATGAGCTTTCGTGGGCAGAACCCTCAGATGAGCAGAGAGGAGTAAATGACGTATTGTACTTTGGCAGTGTAGAAATGCTTTTCTGATAGAAACACTAACATAAGGCAGGATCGGGATGTTAGCGCATAGACATTTTAGTGATTAACCAGTAAGCCCAGGATTATCGGTTAATCCAAATGACTACACGTAACACCCTACCCCTTGTTTCCTCTGTATCAAAAGCAGCAATGGGGGGGGGGGGGGTGGGGGAAGGGGGGG